CTGCGGCTAGGTGTCTACCTGGGCAGCCATCTTTAACTCTCGAATTTTCCAAAGTTTTAAGTTCTACTTCATGTTTTATTAATAATTCCATTTTCAAGCCATTTCTCTCTTCTCACATTTTACTATATAAAGTCAGAAGGAACTAAGCTACTCCTTCAACACTGCTTAGACATATCCTCAGCTAAATATTCAGTTTCATCACTGGCCACATCCTACCTTCCTTAGAATTCTAGAACATAGACACAGTTCAGCCAAGTTCTCTGCCACTTTTATAACAAGGATTTCTTTTTCTCCATTGTCCAATACACATTCCTTATTTCTATCTGAGGCCTCATCAGAATGGCCTTTACTGTCCATATTTCTACCAACATTCTGTACACGGTTGTTTGTATTTTCTCTAAGAAGATGGAAGCACACTCTCCTTTCCTTTCTGAGCTCTCACCAGAATTGCTTTTTAAAAGTCTTTTATGAAAATCTCCACTTCTCCCAGCATGCACTTTAAAGTTTCCCAGCCTCTACTCATGACCCAGTTTCAAAGCTGCTTCCACACTTTAGGTAATTGATAGAGCAGCGCTCCAATTCTTGGTGGCACTTTCCGTCTTAGCTTGGGCGGCTGTCACAAAAGACCATAAACCGAGTGCCTTATCAACAATGGAAACTTGTTTCTCACAGTCCTGAAGGCTGAGAAATGCAAGATCCAGGTGCTGGCCAGTTTGGTTTGTAAGGAGAGCCCTCTTCCTGGTTGCACAGTGCTGACTTCTTGGTGCCCTCACATGGCAGAAAGGGAGTGAACTCTTCTCTGTCCTCTTCTTATGAGGACACTAATCCTACCACAGGGGCTTCATCCCCATGACCAGATTACCTTCCAAACGCCCCTCCTCCAAATACTATCACACTGGGACTAGACTTCAACGTATGAATCTTGGGGGGAACACTTTGTCCAAAATGGCAGTATTCTTGGACTCTCCCCTATCTGAGCCTTGCTACTCATGCCACTTCAAATAAGGTTTTAAGGTTTTCCAGGACACTCTAGCCTCTGGTTAGGAACACACCTTTACAATAGTAGCTCAGTTTCCTCCATTACTATAAGGAGATTTGTGTGATTGTGAGCTTGATGATGGAGATGATGAGAGCTACTGAATGCCTGACACTGTCATTGGCATCTTTTGTGTATTACTTCTAATCCTCAGAATGAGGTAAATATTAGACTCTCTGCTTCAAAGACATGGACATTGAAGTCTGTAGAACCTAAACTAGTTTCCCAAAGCAACATAGCAATTAAGTGGGTACAGACCCAGGTCTTTCAGGCTCCCAAGTCATGCTCTTGACATGATGCCACACTGCTTCCCAATGCATATATTTAGGGGCAAATTTATCTTCTATTTTATAGATAAAAACTTTAGATGTGGAGAGGTGAAAAAAAAAATTGTCTTCAAGTACCAGGGGTACATGGTACCTTTAATTCTTACGTTCTCCAAACTCATTCCCCTATGGTCATTTTTTTATTTTATTTTATTTTTTATTTTTTTGCCTCTTCCCAAAAAGCAAGCCCAGCTCATGTTTCAGGAGATGACACTGTGTCAGAGAGTCCCCCTGTGATGATGATTATTTATGGGAGAACCAGATGGGAACATTTGAAACATATACTAATTAGAAAGTCCTTCGTTTCTATTTTCTTTGCTGCCTGCCACCCTGACCCCTCACACACATGGTGTATTTTGAGCCATTCTTTGTACTTTTGGTTGGGATGTGCCTACCCTGGCATCTGATCACACAGGCTGACTGCTTTTGAAGCAAATGGAAAAAGTTCTTGAACCAGAGCATGAGGGATTTAAGTGCTGTCTTGTGTCATGCCCTAATGGTCATTCATGCTTTCTAAAGCCCTTTCTATGAAGAAAGTGCTGGGCAGTTGGAAGGTGTGTGTGTGTGTGTGTGTGTGTGTGTGTGTGTGTGTGTGTGTAGGGGGTGCCAGGCAGGGAGCAGGTTCCACTTCACAGAGGAGATTGAGGGGAGGGGCAGAGAGAGACTTGAGATGTGAGGAGTGAGGTCTGAGGTTTGTGGTTGAAGCCCAAGCCAGAGCAGGAGACTGTACCTCCTTCACTTAATCTCTAATTGCTCCAGATTGTTCCTCAGTGAAGCCATCCTCATAGTGCTGTGGGGTTACTGGAAGCAGCCTTCAAAAAGCTTGATTAGCAGAATAGGAATTATTTCTAAGTGCACATTTCATAAGTCATCAGAGAAAATGGCCTGTTTCTATGAAATTTGGTAACGGCTGTAATTTTATCTACTGCCCCCATGTACCACACCCTTTCCATTTGCTTTCCAGTTTAGAACTCAGGAGGCCATAACGATAAAGAAACCAAGGCCCAGAGATAAAACAACTTGCCCAAGATGACTAACAAGATGACTAATAAGAGGCAACGCCAGCACTGGAGCTTTTTCAGTTGTAACTGAAAGGGGCTCTGACGTGCTGCCCTCCATCTTCTTAGCACCACCCAGTCCTCTCTCCCAGCTCACCCCCACTGACTCCTTCCAGTGCCCACTCATCCGTGCAAACCATTTAACTAACAGCTGCTACACTGGCCTTTTAAGAGCCCACGTCTGCCATGCTTATGACTCCGGTGTCTCCAACATAATGATCAACTCCACAGCCAGTGGCTGGGATTTTCTCCCACTGCCCCCCATGTGGTTCCCTCAGATCAAATGTGCTCCCAGGCTCACCAGGCAAAGCCTCACTCAGACTCTTGTTGGAGCCCTTCCTCTCTGTCTTCCCCACCCACACACATGCTGCCGCCTTCTGGATCTTGTCTGGATCCCACCATGTCTCGGACATCTTTGCCAGACCCTGACTCTCGGTAATACTTCTCTTTCTAGCACTTTCTAATAACATTTATTCAGATGCCAATCATATATTGTTCTTTATGGTGAAAGGAAGAAAAAGGAAAGAAAGACGTTTTCAAAAGGCTTTACCAGTAGACAGTCTCAAAAGCCATTCAAAATATTTCGGTGTTACAACTCTTCTCCCAATCATAGGACATGTGGCTCAACTGTAAACTCAGAACGACATAAGGGTAATTTTAGAAAAATATATATTTTATTGATTTTCTACAGAGAGGAAGGGAGAAGGATAGAGAGCTGGAGACACTGATGAGAGAGAAACATCGACCAACTGCCTCATGCACACCCCCTACTGGGTATGTGCCCGCAACCAATGTACATGCCCTTGATCGGAATCGAACCTAGGACCCTTCAATCCGCATACCAACGCTCTATCCACTGAGCCAAACCGGTTTCGGCAAGGGTAATTTTTTAACATATATCTTCCTATCAGGATGAGAGGCACCACAGGTCTCAACCAACTTGGGCACAATGACTCCAGAAGTCTCCCAATTTAATTGCCAGGGACAGACGATAACACAATAAAAATATGACTAATGCAGCAGTGAGTTTAGAAAACTGTGTATGATCCACCGACCTGCACAGTGAGGCACTGTTTAAATAGAAGGGAAAGAGGTTTTTGTCAGGTCTTAACTCGGACAATTATTAAACACATACTGATTTTACCTGTAGGAGGATCAATGGCCCTGTAATGGCCCTGAACAAAGGCTTCAGAGGTAAATCACTGTGAGTCTTAGTCCCTTATTGGGAGTTTAATCTCTTGCTCTATTCCCTAATTCCTGCAAGGGCAGAATGATCCAGAATCAAGAACCGGTCGCCAGGGTCAGCTTTAAACATAAGTTCTGTCCCATCAAAGGTATGATGTGATCCCTTACGCAACAAGAAAGGGGAGATGTAGACTCTAATGAGACCAGATAACATTGGGATTTTTACTTGTGAGATGCTTATTCTTGACATTTCTCTGGCTTTCCTGGGTCATAGCCTTCAGTTTAGTCCCCATGTCCATGCCCTGGACATTCCCCCTCTTACTATTTCAGTTTTCATTTCTGCCAAGCTCTCCCCAACCCCATACCGCACCCCTGCCTCTGCCTTGTCTCTCATTCTTTCTTTCTTTTTTAAAAAAAATATATTTTATTGTTTTTTTACAGAGAGGAAAGAAGAGGGATAGAGAGTTAGAAACATCCATGAGAGAGAAACATCAATCAGCTAGTTGCCTCCTGCACACCTCCTACTGGGGATGTGCCTGCAACTGAGGTACATGTCCTTGACTAGAATCAATTCTAGGACCCCTCAGTCCGCAGGCTGATGCTCTATCCACTGAGCCAAACCGGAAAGGGCTCTCATTCTTTCTTGAGTCTAGAAGGCATTAGACACATCCAGTAGCAGGAGAGGCTATTGCTGCTGCCTTCTTTTCTTTCTAACAGGCTGTGAGACACCACAGGTCACAACCAAATTGGGAGCAATGACTTCAGAAGACTCCCGATTTAATTGCCAGGGACAGACTGCTGTGGACTTCCCCTGAGAGAATGAAGGAGTTTTGAGGAGCAGACTGACTGCTTTGACTTAAAACTCTGAATGGACTCGCCATTGGAACTGCCTGGGGCACGGGCCTCTAACACTTGTTCTCTGGAATTGCCTGCCACTCATGGGAGAATTACATTCTCCAACTCTGACAACAGATCTTGATAAGGGGTCCTAGGGCTCAAGCCTGGTCCAGACAGCTCTGGACACATCTGGAAAGATGTCACCTGTCTGGAAATGTGGGCAAAGCTGCCATAACCTTGGGTGAGAATCTGTGTAAAGATGTTCAAAATGGAAAAAACACAGGGCTCCCATCACCCATCCTGAGAATTTCCTCAAAGGCACCCTGGCCAGCCGGGGTCAGCCAGGGCTGAGCCCTCTATTACTTTCGGGTGCTGCCAAAGTGAGACAATGGCCCCGTATTGGGGAGAGAGACGGCCCTGGCTCCTGTGTGCAGAGCGGCCAGCTTTCTCTCAGTTTATCTCAGACGACAATTTCCTGGTTCCCTTCTAGTCAAGTTCAAATTGATTTTTTTTTTCTTCAAGAAAGCTTTCTCACCCCTCGTCCTCTTCTGTCCCTAGGAATAAGGTCAGAGGACCCAAAAGCTTCTTTCCCGTTGTGAGAGAGCGGGAGTCTCTAGAGCCACCCAGTGTGAATTCTCGGTGAGCTTCCAGGTGACTGGCTATTGTCCTCACAAGTTAAGAAGGCAAAAGTATTTTTAAACACAATAAGAAGGCTCAAGTATTGTTAAACACAAGCAGAAAGCCCTCCTAGATAAACCCCTGATCTGTTATCTGGATTTTTTTCTTTTTTTTTCTTTTTTATCTTTCCTTCTTCCCCCCCCCCCCCCTCTTTTTCATTTTTGTCTCTTTTCTAAAACTTATTTTCCATGTGTGTGTGATGCCTAGCATTTTGATGTTGGTCTGTGGACTAGCCCTTGGGAATTCCTAACTAACCACAGGATTTAGAGTGGAAGTTCATGAAATCATAAAATCTGTTTACAACTGTGTTATCAGTGCGGGCAAGGTAGATTAACAGTACACTTTGAAGTGAACTGGAGGTTCATTTATAAATCACAAGTGCCTCACAAGCCAGATACCCGACAGGTGTGACTAGTGTACAGTTTAGGATTAAACAGGGAAACAAATAGCATTTGTATTTCATTTCAAATATGGGGAGGGGAACAGTGAAGAAAAAGGAACCCCATGTGACCGTGGCCATCCCTGCCCACCCCTCCGTCCCAAGTCCTTCTCCACCAATCTGCCTGTTTTTGTGATTTTAGGAAGTGAGGGCAGAGTCCAGGCCCATGGCATCCTAGGATCATCCCTGACCCCTTGCTTCTTGAAGATCCCCCCTCGGTGCTGAAGACACGTATCATTTATATCCTCAGGCTGTTGCTGTTGGTGAAACCATGGGGCCGCCGGGTCACGTCTGCCCACAGCTGCTGGCGTTCGCATCCCTGGGCGCTGAGGTCTGAAAGGCGACCCCGGCGAGGACAAGCCCTACCCCCTTGGAGGAAATGGCTGAGCGGCCCAAGCAGCAGCAGATGAAAACTTCCTTCCTCTTCATCCAGCTGCAGGCCGCCCCTGGCAGAACGCTCCCCGCCCTGTCTCCAGCAGCCGCAGCCTGGACCGCAGCCCCAGGGGGCCCGGAGGAGGGACACATTCTCCCAAGTCCCAGGACCGGCGCCTTGGCAGGCCGGGACCTCAGGCGCACGCGGGGCTCGGCTGCTCCTCCCTCTGGGCTGCTGCAGAAGGAGGGCCGTGGGACAGAGCAGCCAGCTGCTTTCAGTTGCTCTGCTCGGAAGCAGGAGAAGGAGGGAGAGGAAAAGCCCCAGGATCTGGACGTAAGGAGGGGTGGCCTTGGCGGATCCCCCCGTTGCGGGCGTTCCCTGGCCCCTGCCGCCAGGAAACTTGGCGGGCCCCAGCCCCTGCCATGCGGACTGCCTAGCCCAGATGTCATCATGAGCGATGGAAGCAGCGATCCCTCTATGGGCTGGGAGCCTTGGCCAGCCCTTCCTTGCCCCCAGGAACTGTGGGGCGCAGAGCCTCAGTCTTGGAACGCTCTGGGATACTCAGTTCCACAGGCCGCCCTGGCCCACGCTGCTGGCAGAGGCGAGAGGGGCGAGCTGAGGCGAGGGACGGCCACCGGCCAGGTCCCCCCGAGGAGCTGTCAAGAGGACACGGGTACCACGGTGCCGGCAAGGAGGGCGATGCTCTACCGATACCGTCCGCCAATCCAGACCAGCAAGAGCTACCCGGCCCCCCCTACCGCTCTGCCTCTCAAGGTAAGAAAGCGTGTGTGGCTGACTTCCCCAGGCCCCAGCTGTTCCCACGGGAAGAGGGAATGAGCAGGGAGGACAGAAGTGCCCACAGGGCTTCCAGTTTTGCACCCTGAGTCTCCCTCCACTCCCGATGGGCTACATCCATACGGCCGGCCACGGTGCTCCAGGGCCCGGCTCCTCCTCGGTGCTCCCACACCTTCCCAGACACTAGCAACATTTTGTTTGCAAACAGAATGAATAACTGTTTCCCAAGGTTTCTGCCAACGATAGAAGAAAATCCAGGCAGAGCAATGCCTACTCTGTCCGGGAAGACCAGACGGAAAGACAGAGGAGCTGCCCAGACGTTTACTGAGCCCTCGTCTGTGCCAGCCATCGTGCCAGGTGTTTCCTTACATCCACCTAGCCTCGTAACTACCCTGAGAAACAGAGGCTCCCATCCCCGCTTTCAGATAAGGAAACTGAGAATGGCTCTGCAAAAAAACCCTCCCCTCCGTCCAGAAATGCAAGGCCAGAAAGGCCACTGGAGAATTAGGAGAGGTTTTGTGGAGGTTTACAGAACTCAGGCACATCCTCGCCCTTCTAAGGCACACTTCCACTTCCCAAGCTTAACCCCCCATCACCACTCCCATCCCCCATCCATGGATGGGAGCCCTGGACATGAGCCTCCTACCTTCCATTTTCCTCTGGAAGGGAAAGGGTAATGCTGTGTGGTCTCCAGGGTCCCTTCAGCTCCTTGGGCTCTGCCTGTGATCATGACCATGCCTACTCTTTGTTATCAGCGTCTGATTCTCTGACTCAACCTCCTCATCATGCTGGTGCCTGAGCCCAGCCTGCCTTCTCCGCCCAGCTCAGGTGTGTTGCTCCCAGAATAGGTGGACACACACACACACACACACACACAAATGACGCTTTTCTTTTCTCTTTCCCAGTAGCACAGACATCTTTGTATACTTTGTACATCTCGAGGAGATGGGGGTGAGAGTGAGGAAGAGTGTGTGTGGGCTGGGGTTGGTGGGGTGAGGCAGAGGTGGGGGGACTCTAGCTGGAGGATGTGGAAGTCGGTGTGGAGGGGACTCCCAGGGAAGTCGCAGGAGAAATGGCGAGAATTCACACCATAGAAGAGACCTTCCTGGGGCTTGGCAATGATGCAGTTTCACCTGGATTCCGTGGCTCGCTCCTGCTTGCTTTTCCATACCCCCCTTCTTCCTCTCTCTCCTTCAAACAGGGAGCCAAATAGCCATGGATAAGAATCAGAGAGAAAGAATGAGCCCGAGTTCTCTTCAGAAAGGAATTCTTGGAAGAAGAGAGATGCTAGCCTGCTCCCTTAAGAAATAGTTAACATTCCACCCCAGAGCTTGTGTCTTCTCATTTCCTACAGAGATCGAGGAGGAATGGCATACCCATGCGTCAGAGACCAGTCCCTGTCTGCGAGGTCACGTGGTAGTTGTTTGTGTACTTTAAAGCTGCTCTGATGACTTGAAAACAGCATCTTCCCCTACTGTCCTTTCCTGCCATCCAAATAGAAGCCAGAGCCTCAGAGCTGTTGCCATTTCCATAGGGAGAGGTGTTTGGGGAGTTGGTTCAAGTGGGTAGACTTCTGTCTTATCTGCAGAAATCTAATAGGCCCCCAGACATCTAAAGTAAGGATTGTGCCCTAGCTTGTTTATCTCAATGGATGGAGCATCGGCCCTCAGACTAAAGGGTCTTAGATTCAGGTACATACCTCGGTTGCAGGCTTAATCCCTGGACCTAGTTGTGTGGGAGGCAACCAATCAATGTGTCTCTCTCACATCGAAGTTTCTGTCTCTGTGTCTCTCCCCCTCCCTTCCACTCTCTCTAAAAAAAAAAAAAAAAAAAAAAAAAAATCAATGGAAAAATATCCTCAGGTAAGGACTAACAATAAATAAATAAATAATTGCAAGATTCCTTGCTAAAAACTTAGAAACCCCAAGTTCAAGTCTAACCTTGAGCAACCCACGAGAGCTCTCTGTTTTTCCATCTGGAAAGCCTGCCTCACAGTTGCCATGGAGATTTGCTATGGAGATCAAGTGTTGAGCAATTGAAAGGAAACTTCAGCAGCCCTGTCTAAGGGAGAGAAGAGAAGAGAGTCAGTGGGACACGATGGGAAGCCATTAGAAGGACCAGGGAAGCCATGGAGTTAAAGGTGTAAATGTAGGGTGGGTCTGGTGAGGAAGTCAGGCTACCAAAACTTACTCTTCTTTTTTTTTTTTTTAAGTATATTTTATTGCTTTTTCACAGAGAGGAAGGGAGAGGGATAGACAGTTAGAAACATCGATGAGAGAGAATCATGGATCAGCTGCCTCTTGCACACCCCCTATTGGGGATGTGCCCACAACCAATGTACATGCCCTTGACCGGAATCAAACCTGGGACCTTTCAGTCCACAGGCTGACACTCTATCCACTGAGCCAAAGCGGTTTCGGCCAAAACTTATTCTTAACCTTGCTGGTCAGATGTTGTGATTGCTCTTCCTGGAAAGGAGGGAGCTGGGAAACTAGTACCTTCAGAACCACACGTTCTCTAAATGCCCGTGGCTACTATTAACCAGGTGACCCCTGCCTGGTCCTGGGTACCTGGGAATGTAGTAAAATCAGCAGAAATAGCCTTTCCATCTGCCCAATTCTGAACAGATAACGGTGTCCTCTGGATTTGATAGATTAATGTGTGAGAATTACCTAGTCCTCTCCTGTTTTGGAATGTAGCTTTGTGAGTCACAGGAAAGTGGCAGAAGGTTCATAAAAAAAGTCTTTTTGTCACTATAAATGTGGAGGCCCTTAACTAGCCATCGTATGACCTTTCACTTGATAGACTCAGGAAGAAATGTGATCAATTAGATTTATTAAATTGAAATGTTGGAAGCAAAATCTGTTCCTACATTTGTATCATAGCATTGATGCTTTCCTAGCAGGAAAATCTGGATCTTAAGTATAAATTCTCTTCTCCACAATGCTCCAAATGGCCAAGTGTGTATTCTCACTTTGGAGACAGATGGGCTCCTAAGTGAAAATTGTCGACTTACATCCTTCCAAATATCATAATGAGGGACTGCAGTGGATTAAATCACTTGGTTTTTAATTTATACCATGACTGGGCTTTGGTAAAAAAACAACTATAGCGCTCCTACACAAGGTGCCCAAACCTCAAAACTGTGAGGATATACAGTGCTATCCCCATTTCACGAATGAAGGGACAGATGCTTAGGATGGTCAGGAACTTGCTGAGACCCGAGACCAACCCATGTCAGCTCAAGACCGAGTTCTCCTACCTCCTCTCTCACTGTCTTCGGAGAGGGTGAAATTCCCACCATTTCCTGGGCCTGGAGGTCTCTACTGCACTCTGACTTTCTCTGGTGGAGAAGCTGGGAGAAGGACCCTCAGGAGTTCAGGTCTAACCACCTGGCCTTGTGTGAAAGAGCGCTAGGAGCCATGAGAGCCTGGGCTTGGGGATGCGGAGTTCCAGCTCTGGCGATGCCTCCTGCGGTTGCAACATTTCTGTGGTGAGTCTGCGAACCAGAAAATGTTCCATAGTCCCGGGCCAGTCCCTGCCCTCATGATTTCTTGGCCCCCACATCCTGCTGCCTCCCAGTGGGAACACCAGGAACTGCCAATATGTGATTTGAGTTTGGGACTAAAGATAAGAAGCCCATATGAAGACACAGAAAACAGATGCAACTAGGAAGGGAAGAAAAAGCTTTCTCTTCAATCATTTTGAGATGTTTACAACTTTTCCTGTACTAGTCTTCATCTCTTAACATAGTTTATGTTTTGAAATAATAACAATATGTTTTGGTATGTAAATAATAACATCTCTTACATATTTTATGTTTTGAAATAATGTAGATGGCATTAGAAAATGCAGTAAAAATATTTTTTAAATTCCCTCTCAAATGCCATTTTTACAAACCCCACAACATTTTCACATGTAGTTTTAAATTGCCAAGAAATTTTACTTCTCTGTTTTTGTCTTCCCCTTTCTCTTCCTCTCTCACCTGAAACACAATGAACTTTTTGAGTTTTCATCACTGGTTGTCTGGGAGTGTTCAGAGTTTAGAAGATAGAGTTAGAGTGAGCAAGGCAGACAGTGTCCATGAGCGATTTGGAGTGTGAAGGAGACAGGGATGGGTACATTATTCCTTAAGGCAGCGATGTTCAACCTTTATCATCTCATGGCGCACATAAACTAATTACTAAAATTCTGCTGCACAGTAAAAAGTATATTTTTTGCCTATCTGACAAAAACATAGGTATAATTTTGATTCATCCACACTGGACAACTACTGTTATATTGGCTGATGTCATTTTTTTTTTTATTTAATAATTGAAGGGACAAGAGGTCAGTGTCCCTGAATAAATACTCAGGTGTTGCATGTTTTAAAAATTCTTTCGACACACCAGTGTGCCTCTGGCAGCTCACCAGTGGAAAATCCCTGCCTTAAGGTAATGAAAAGAAATGCAATGTAGGTCTGTTTGCTTAAAAACAGGCCCTAACAGACTAGAGAAAACACTTTTAACTCTGTGTCTTGGATTCTTTTGCCTTAAAATAAATCCAACATCTGAAATATAAGTCTGTATAAAATATCAGCCTGTTAAAACTTTCACACAAAGTTTTAATTTAGAGTTAAGGTCATGGGCACTGGGATTGAAGAGATAACAATTAAATCTGCTCCTGCCCACTAACTAGCAAAGTGGCCTTTGGCAACTCAATGAGCAAAGCCAGGCTCTCTTGTTTGTTCTCTGAGGTCTTTCCAGTTCTGTCATTCTATGATGAGTTATGAGTCTATGAATCCAGGAAGGAAATAAAACTGTTTAATGAGCCCGGCTGGTGTGGCTCAGTGTCAACCTAGGAACCAGGAAGTTACAGTTGAATTCCAGGTCAGAGCATATGCCCAGAGTTGTGGGCTCAGTCCCCATTGGGGGGTGTGCAGGAGGCAACCAGTCAATATTCTCTCTCATCTTTGATGTTTCTATCTCTCCCTCTCCCTT